AGTTGAAAAAAGGAAAACCTTTGTCGAACCCCCTCCCCCTCCTTTTGGGTTAAGACGTTAATGGCTTGCCGTAAGTCGTCGGTAACATTATTATTTTTTTTACAAAATCCGCAGGCAGCTACAGAACGAAGAGCTATAAAAACGTACATGTACAATAATACTAATAGTATGTAAAACGCAACACACTCTGGAGAGTCTGATAGATTATGATAATATTTCTTGTGGGACACAATAAACTAGACGGTTTAATCGAACCCGGCCCGGCAGACCGGTTTTTTTTATTTTTTTGTATTTTTCCAGACGTACGTTACGGTTGCATTAATTTGCATGCTATGATTTACGGCCACGATAATAAATATTGTAATTTTTTTTTCCTATTCATATAATGCCCCATCATCTCGGACCTCGAAAATAGGCAGAGCAGCGCCTAAACGCCGTGTCTCTAAAATTATCCGCCGGCAATGTGTTTAGGCGAACCAACGTGTGTTTTCAATCAATTCTCTTAAAAAAAAAAAAAAAAAAAAAATGTCTCGGCCAGTAATATTGGCAACAATAATAACAATAATAATATACTCGGCCAGACGATAAACAGCCGGTCGCCAGTTACAGCAGATTGATCCAAAAAAAAAAAAAAATGTCTAGAAAAATAATCGCCGCTATTCTTATTAGGCTATTTCGCCAATTATAAGCTGTTAGAACGTTAATGCGCGCGCTCCGCCGCCGACGTGTTATTGTTATCGCCATTAAAACGTCGTTATAGCATCTATTAATAGACCGTGGAAATAACATTGCAACCCTGGGACCAGCTTGCCGTAAAAAACGTGGAAAATTTCAATCGCGAAGAAAAGAGGAGTTGGAAAAAAAAAAAATATTCAAAGAAATCTTAGCTCGCCAAGTCGGTGTCGGCGTATTTCAGACATAAAGTTCTGGAACTCTTCACTTCACTTCTACACGATGTCGAGGTGATCGTATAGTAAGACTCTGAAATAATAATTGATCATCAGTCCGTACATGGGTTGCAGAGATCTGCGTGGTGCTAAATGAAAAATGTTGGCCAAAATCCACAATTTTTTTAACTGTAAAAAACTTAAATTAATTAAATTTAGATCTTAGCTTCGATGCGTGGCTGATGTGATTTGATTTTTTTTTTTTTTTTGTGTCCGTTGCCAGGAAAACTTCTAAGCCGTTGATTTCATCATGTGGCAACACTGTAGGTTAGCATTTGGTACTTTATTAGACCAAAAAACGACAAAATTAGTTGAAAAACACCAAAGAAACGTTAACATTTTTAACTTAAAATTACAGTTCTCCATAACTTTTTTAAAAATAGTCCAGTTAGTTCCAAATTTGTGTGCAGAGTATTTTTAAGACACAGTACTACCGATAAACGTTGAAAACCCAAAATCATAAACCCTTTCCTCTAGAGGGGTGGGAAATTATTTCTATTTATATCGCTTTTTTAAGTAAAGTTTTAGAATTTTAGGTTTTAAAATTAGAATCCACAATAGGGCCTTAATATATATGGTTTCATCAAAAATATGTAGTCAACATTTTTTTTACTTTGATAAAATCCAAACTGTTACACTTTGACCGTATTCACTATGTCTAGGTTGGATTGAATCAAATGTAAACTGGTATCTTAATTAAAACATTGTCATTATACTGTTAATGACCATAATATGGGGTAACTATGGCAATACGTTTTATAGACAAACGATCAACCCTAATTGTATCCACCCTAATATTAAAAAATTAATATTTAAGCACACTATTGTCATTAGAGGTAAAACGCTTTTAGTGTGCAGCGTTATGATTTTTTTTCTATTCTCAACAAGCTCTTTAAGTTATGAACGTGCCACTTTTTTCCATGTCAATAACCGTACTTGCTTTATTTTTTCAAAACCAAAAAAGAAAAAAACGCTATGTATCTTCACAGTGTTATATTATTATTTGTACTGTTGTTATATCTCTGCTAACAGCTGTGGGTAAGCGCAAGAATGAAATAGAAACAACTTGATCAAATAATAATATACCTATACACTGTCTTCTAGTAAAACTAATATTATAAAATATGTTTTATCCGGAAAATAATATACTGCTATACTAGTAGAACGGTTTGAGTAAAAAAAAAGTACTGAGTTAAATCGTTCAGAAAAATGCTTGACAATTTTGGAATCGTTCATAGCACAAGCGACAGAGAGGTATTTTGGGGTAGAGATAGACCGGATAACAAATGGGTTGGAAAAAATAAAAAGGAGATATGCAAAGTGAATAAAGAAATGATGACGGATAAAGAGATTTGGTGCAAAGGGAGAGGAACAAGATTTGGTCGGCCTAACCCACTTGTAAAAATGGTCACACCAGTCTTGATTGATAACAACGATAACGGTTCATCTTAATACATTCTCAAGATGAAATGTGTGTTTCGACACAAAATGTACAGTAAAAAATATTATATATTTCTTACTCAAATTTATTTGAATTTAGCGTTAAAAAATATATAATATATTACTTTACTTTTGTTAATACTTCTGTGTACAATTTTTGGCCATTTTCAACCGTTTTTCAGAGAGATAGTTTCTAGATGACTCTGTTAAATATGTTTATTTCGCTTGATAAAAAAAACAGGTCTCACACCTTGAAGTCATTTTACTGATACTAAGTTTTGATGTAACTATGATCAGCCTGAAAGTACACAATTTGAACCAAAATTTGTATATTAAAAAAGAAACACATATAGTTTCAGGAGTCGATACAAGTTCAAAACAAGATAGGCTGTGATGACATTCCGTTTGGTGGTATACTACTTGTATTAATCAATTTTTAATAAGCAGTAAATTAAAAAAAGGTTGGCAAACGAGAACAAATTAAAATACATTATTATTCTCTCTCTCGTTATTTTAATATGTTACTTAACGTCGCTCGCGTCACAAAAAATTAATTTTACTGTTACCAGAACGGTCAGAATATAAAAAAAAAAAAATATCTAAAAATAAAGCATGTTTATTAAACCGTTTAAAAGGACTTTCATATATATATATATATATTTTAATAGATCGTCTGTCCGGCGGGCGATGATGTTGTTAGAATACAATATAGTTGAGAAAACCATAAAAACAAAGAATTTGTATACTGAAATTGTAGTCAGTTAAACTTGAGTATTTTGTTAATAACGTTTTTGAGTAACTACTACTAAAATATATTATGTTATTTCAAGCCTTTACATCTTCACAGCAGACTAAACACAGTCTGTGTAGCTTTTGCAATATATTATATACAATTTATGTTTGCTCAAAATTGTGTAATTATTTAAATTTATTTTCGATTACGTTTTAATTAAAAGTTCCTTTTCATAGAATTGAAAGCAATTTTAGAAGGAAATCGTCAAGCCGTTAATGCTTTATAAGGATTGTTTTTTTAATGCGCATAAATTTCATTCACAATAATATAATAATAAAATGTGGTTTTTTTCGGTTATCACGACGTTATTGGATAACCGAAGTAACCGTCAAGACCATAAACAGCATATTTTAATTAATATTTTTCTGGGAACCGTAGTTTTAAAAAATAATTATTCACTGTTGACGAAGAAAGAATAATAATTGTAGTATTATTTATAAATTATACATTACCAAGTAATGCCGACCGTGTCACCCTCTCTCTTTTTTTTAAATCATTAAAAAAACAAATTAATATATATATAAATACTGTTAGGTTGGTATGGGATAGAAGTAGATCATTGTAGTTTTAAAGTTACTCGAAAAACAGAAAAAACACAGCTAGTTTTTGATGATTGGAACAAAAATACTCATTATAATAGTGAATGTTTATTGCTGATTGTAAACACTGGTTTTTTAATTTGTATTTCTATATAATTAGGTTATACTATTTTTAGTTAATGTTAATAGTTACTCACGTCAATATACGGTTTTTACTTTATAACGAAATTCAAATGACTTTAAGCAATTCATACATCAGTATTTGACCACACGTTTAATTTTATAATTTTCATTTACTTGTAATGTAAAATACCTTGTAAAAATGTACAGAACAAAACGTTTTTCGTTAATAAACATAGGATTTTACACGGAAAAAATGTGGTTGTTGACTGTTTTATCGGTTGTAAATTTGTTTTTAAACGCAATTGCAGCCAAGAATTTTTATAATTATCGGCTATCACCGATTGAGTCACTCGGAAGGAATTGAAACTGAAAAAGAAAAACAAGTTTACATACAATTTAATCGCATCTAATTGTAAGACGTTATTATACGGCGGACGGAATTAATAGCGAACAATAAAATATCGTTACAACAGTAATTATAGACTAGAGTTGTGTATTGGCGTAATTGGAAAATCAAACCAACTATTTCAGTTCGAAACGCGAAAAATTGGCAGCGAAAAACATAAATTGAAACCGATTAAAAAGTCAATAAGAGGTAAAAAGCGGTTTCAGATTGCAAAAAAAATTGCGTTTATTATAAGTTGCGATTGTTTAAACATTTTTTTTAAAAAATATTTTTTGGGTTTTTCCGAATACATCCAATATTGTGTTGGACGGTAGCGCGACCGTTACGGCTTGACGGCCGCGTCGGCGGCGGCCGATCTGGCGCAATATGCGAACAAGGCGAACGCTCGTAGACGAATGCCGGCGGTCCGCCGGCGGCCGTTTTCGAATTTCGGGGTGTGTCACATCGTTCGGTGCGCGCCCCCAAAAGTCCGCCCCCGACCCACCGCCGCCGCCGCTCGAACGTGCGGTACACCCGCAGCCCGTGGCCGCCACCGCCGCCGTCACCCGACGCGGTCAGTCCACGCGCGGACGGGCGGTGGCGGTGGCGGCGGCGGTGGCGTCCGCGGCAGACGGCGCGCGCTAGACGTTACACCGCGACGCACACTGGGTTGGTCGTGGGATGCGCAATGCTTCTGCCGCCCGTCTCGGGCACACGGATAAAAGGCCGTTGCACACATGGCCCGTCGTTTAGATTCGCTTTCCTTGGCCATCGTTGCAGTCGCCGCGAGCTTCGTTTACTACACCTGCCAACACGGAAGTCACGATTGAGTCCAACGACAACGACACCGCGCCAGCCACGCCGAACTCACCGACTCAAAGTCGACTAGTCCGGCTGGTGCGCCCGCTCCGTTACATTTACGCGTTACTGGTGAGCATATTCCGTTACTATTATTGTTTTATTAAATTTTTGCATGACTTTAAAAAAAAAAAAAAAACGTTTAATTTTTTTTTAATCGCAAATTTTTTATTACTTCATAAATTCCAAATTTTTAAGGAACGTTTTTTTTTTTCAATTTTATCAATAAAACACTATAACGACTTGTTAATTTTTTTAATATCGTTAACGTTAAAAAAAAAATTAACCCTTCGAGAAAACATTCCGAAAATCAACCCTTCGATGCCCGATTTCGCCCTTAGAATTTTTTATGAACGAATTTTTTATTATAAATAATTATAAAGTCGAGAATTCGGGAAAAACAAGTAGAAATACATTCAAAAAACAAATTTTTGTTATTATATCTGATGGACAACAATTTATAGGGCGCCACCAAGTTAAAAAAATATTTATTCTAATTTTTTTACAATATAAAATTATGTAATAAACATGTTGTATCACGACCGGCACCGCAGGGTTGATTTCGAAATAGCTTTTTTACCGCCTAAGTATAAGAAAAATGTGTATAATTTGTAACATTATTTAGAGGACGCCACACGACCGTCGTTTAGAGATGCTCACAACTAATAATAGCTATTAATTAGGTCGTTCCAATTTTTGAAATTTCGAAAACGCATCGAAAAACAATACTGTTTAACCGGGTTGGTTCAAAAAAATATAGCTAGTTTTACAAATATCTAAAAAATTACTATCCAACGCTCAAAGTTATAAAATTAAATTCGAGTGATAAATTTCAAAAATTTAAAATTCATCAAGTGTGGCTTTTTCTTAATACGTTGCCACTCGAAAATTTACATTGTTTGTCATTAGTACAACTGAATACGTTGCTTGAAATAACATTGATAACACTGAATTCCAATAGGTTAGCCGAGTTCGAAGTTGTAAAAAATAAATTAACACATTTAAACGTTTCGTTGTGGCGTCGGTTAATTTTGAAATAGTTTTTATTGACTAATTTAAAAAAAAAATGTCCATACTATATTCAGCATTTATTACAATATGTAAATTGTTTTAATTTAACGAAATTCTGGTTTGGTAACGTTGTCGTTCGCTGTTGCTGCCATATTATAACATTTGGTTTGATAATTAAGTATTTGTGGTGTTTTGGTAAAAAAAAACAGAAATGTTTTAACCGATAGAACATTATATGCAACTGAAAAATATCGACAAATATATTTTTCACTTATATTAGTATCTAGGCGAACCGTTTGTCGTTTTGTAACGTAGATTATAAAAAACAATAATAACATAATGGTGTTAGGAGGTTTGGGTGGTTTAATCCGAATTCACCAGAGATAAAATGTTGACAATATAGGTCATGATCGACGACAATCTATAATATAAAAATATGTATATAATATATATAAAGATAATGAACAACTCGACAAACGTGGAATATCACTGACGGCGGAGACACCTCGCTCGTTCGGGTAAGGCATACAACAGAAGAAGAGCGGTTAAACGTTTGTGTTATTTTTTTTTAAATTATTTTATTTTAAAGCAAACCTGCCTACTGTTTCAACAAAATGAAATATACACAGTTGATGTACACCGCGTGGGCATACATGAGTTATTATCATTGTAATAATTGTTGAATTGTCGAATGCGCGCATATTTTTTTAAAAATATTTTGTTACCTTATTGTTGCGGTTAACCTGTTGGTTTCAAGGTAAAAAAAAAAAAAAAAATTAGAATTCAAATTGGTTTTTATTATTATTATTTTTTTTTTACCCGAGTTTCATTATTTTTTATAATATTATATATTATAATATATTCAATAATAGTATTACCGAGTACAGAAAATATAAAATCTAGAACAATATAGCGCAAACTGTAAACACCGTCGGAGAGACGCTAATATGAACGTAATCATTATTTTTTTTTCACCAAAAAATATTGTTTTAATTAATTTTATACAACGCGCAACAACACAAATGCATTGCAATCCTCCGGTATGGAAATAATAGAAAAAAAAAAAATGTAATTATCCTTCAGTTAGTCGAAACACATATATTAATATAACATTAGTTATCCGGCTGGCTAACAAATGGCGAGTTCGAGTAGTGTAGTAATGCGAGGCTTAAAATATAATATATATACATATAAAACCGCATATTATTATTATTATTTATTACCGACAAAGGTGTTTGATGTAACGCTTTGGACGCGCTAGAATGTTTGTCTAGTGTACAATATTATAATGTTATTATTATATAGCACCACTACCTACCACTGCACTGATAATACTAAAAAAAAAATAAAATAATAATAAAGTTACGAGTTTTGTGATGTAATAAAAAACGCGATTCGACGCTTTTTGTCTGTTTAATTACGCATTAATAACGTTTATACGAAAATAAGAAAACAAAAAGGTTTTATTAAGCAATAAATTAAACTTCAAACGCGAAAAAAAAAAAACCATCAGTAATAAACGTACATATTATATACTAATATAAACCTAAATATCATTAACGAACGTTTTAATTGTGCAAAACAAAAAATAATGCATAATAATAAAATTAAATCTATTAAACTCGCCGCCCTCGTTTGAACCCAACGCCGCCGCCAGTTTTAATTTTTTATTATTTTTTTACCGCGCAATTATTATTGTTACCCGTACCTAGTGCGACTCTGTTATTCTATAATTTTTTTTTTGCCGCTATTATTTCTCGATTATTTTTACCGGTGCTTTAAGTCTACGCCGTACTAACACATTTTTAATTAACCGTCAATTTTCCAACCGTACCGGTTTCGTTTGTCCGACAATTTGTTTAATAAGTTATCACGTGTCATAATATTATTATTATTATCATGTGTATTTCCATTTCTCGCATGTCCTATTGGCGTTACCAAGTGCCGGTGTAATTTGTTTCAGACCACTGCGGTGAGGCAAGTTGTGTATTACACATATATACAAAAAAGGACCGTCCGAATGAAATATATACGCGTGTGTGTGTGTGTAAAATAATGACCTTCCGCAACAGCTTAACTGTAATTCCGGCAGGTCCCCCAGCAGAGTCGTTTTTGATTTATTGTGATATTATATTATGCTAAACCCAGCCGGATTGCGTTTTCTCCGTCGTGTCGATACCGTGCAGGATATTCGTACCGTATAGCATTATATAAACTTTAATATGTTATGAAATAATAATGGTAATGATAATAACAACGCGCGGCAGCCGCATATGAAGTCCATGAGTATAATGCACGTGTACAGGGTGTTCCAGTAGAATTCACTGGAATATATATATATATATATATATATGTCTCGAGGCAATCGATATTTAATGTATATTGCTTGGAACGTCTTGTGGGATGTTTGGCTGAAGGAAAAAAAAAAAATTAAATAATAATAAACCTCTTCGGTTACCCTATGATTAGAGTCGTCGAGCCATCATTATATCCAAAACCGGAACATATTCGTTGCTCTACGGCATTTGCGTTGCTTAAGTGAAAAACCGAATGCATCATTTACCGTTCACGACGTTCCTCCAAGATGAACAATTTAATATTATGCATTCTTACGCGAATTCCGACGTCTCATTACCGTTTGCACGTTCTCGTTAATTCCAAAATCAATTGTACGTGTGCATTTTTTCATCTATATTTTGATGGTTGCGAACAACCTCGATCAATCAGAGAGTCCTCGCGTCCTTGTGGTTTAAACGAACGGCTTCGCAGATGCTTTCGATTAGGATGTGAACTGCAACTGATCGATCGCCCATTCGCGTCAACGTCTCGTGTTCAATCAGCTTGTCCGCCTTTAGACACCTTAGATACTCTTATCATTTTTATACGGCTCATTTCCCCTAACGCCCTCCCCGCGTTTACCCCATTACGGTGCCGGTGTCGATTGTGGTGGATAAAAACATATTGTTCTCTGTCGAAAACCCATAATAATTGTAAAATCAATACCATCCCGTCTTTGCACCGAAGCTGTGAACATATTATGCGTTAGAGTACCACAATAAGGAGCAAACAATTTGTGACTAGATTTCCAGTTTGAATTCCTATAAGCCGGACGCACTCTGTGATTGTTGTCAGCTGAAAATGTGTTTTTTTTTCTTCAATTTAACGATCTCGGTTAAACTCCCCTTAACGCAATCGACTGTTAACTTATCTAAATCAAAAGACAATTGTATACAACAATTGTTGAATTAATTAGTTGGTTTTTTTTTTTAATTAGATTTTCTCAGAAGACATTCGTATAGTACAAGCAAATCATCGTGAGACATCAGTATATTATACTGGTTTTGTCGGTCGCTACCATATTCGATGGTTTGTGAAAGATAGAAAACATTTTTATGTGTTTTTTTTCCCATTGATTTTTTTTTTTTTTATTACATTACCCGACTCGTAATGAGAAAATAGACGTATTCGGCATTTTTATTATTATTTTTTTTTTTTTTTGTTATGCACTTGGATAATATTTCAGTGACACGATATTATGTGACCTACGGTCTGGCAATAAACTTATATGTTATATAATATTATTATCTCCAGAGCGTATCTGTTCGGGGTTTTTTTTTTGTACAGCGTGAATTAATTAACGAACGCAAAAATATGCATAACTAATAATTAAAATACACTATCACTCGTCTAAAAACGTCATCCTTTGACATTTATAAAAAAAAAAAAAAATTACTTTTATTCACCCCAAACGATGAGTTCGATTATTTATTTATATATTTTTTAATCTCGTTTTAATCTCTTTACTTGTTTCCTGCGATCAACGAGCGCCAAATTTTAATTATTAACATTTTAAAAAAAGCAATTAAAAAAATTAATTGATATTCACGATGGAAATATAATATTATTATTAATACATTACAGTACAAAGCGAATTGGTCGGTACAAATCAACGTTTTCCATTTACAATAATTATTTAGTTTGCACGAATCGATTGCTGAACATAATCGTTTTACACTCGACTTATGAGTTTTACTTTAACGATTACTTTGTCAAACAATAAAGCGTTGACAACAATTTAGTGTACCACCATAGTCTCGGTGGGATTCGTTTCCTTTTAGAAAATATAAATAAACTGTATAAAAGCAAAGTTAGGGAACTTAATAAACGACTAATTCACTGTTCCATTGAATTGCTGACATTTTATTACAACAACAACTACTAATTGTTGCTTGTAATAAGATAACTATATTTCTTATGACTAATAATTATTAAAATGATAGTGTTCAGCCTTATAAAAACTTAAACCCTTTGTATATATATTATATTTTTAAATTCAATGAAAACACATTACGAAGCTTGTTGATTTGTTTTTTGTTAAAATATAAAATACTAATAACGCAAAGATTTTAATGGATTTTTTTTAACACCTCTTAAAAAAAAAATAACAATAATATCAATATATTGTTTTTTTTTGTAAAGAGGTTAATGAATAGTTTTCACATTTATACAATATCTGTAAACATTATGAATAAAACATCTGTTAACTATCTGACTCATCCACATTGAAAATATATAAATCTATCTGTATCAGAGTGATAAACTTGTTACTAACTATTAGAACTAGAAATAATTGTAATTGTAAATAGAATAATGATGTTTTTTTCTTTTATGAAATTCAATCAGTTTACGAGCGTTAACTCGTTAGTTAGTTCGCGTTGATTTAAAAAACTGTTTAATAACGTCGTTTTATCTGTTTCCACATAACCTTATTCTCGAGTAACGTTGGCAAACATAGATTTGCTTTTAAATTAATAACGTTAAGTGAAAAAAAAAAAAAAAAAAAAACGTCAACTGTAAACTCATTTCACACATTTCTATTAAAGTCTCTATCAGTGCTGGTAGAAGTCAAAGTCGAGTTTCTTTTTAACCCTCCCGGCTCTTCGAATGCGTTTTCTCGAAATTAGATGGCAATCTGAATCCATTGCTATTATACTTAGGCGTATGTGGTTTTTTTTTTTTCGTTTATGGTCTTTTCGCGCGGTTTACATTTCACAGAGACTTAAAGTTATGAGCGAAGATTGTATTTCTTTCCCCTCGGGGCGTGTGTGTGTGTGTGTGTGTGTAGGTTTTCAGACATATTATTGTAATGGCAATAACGTTGAAATGCTCGCCAACAAATTTTGATTCGACCGCGTCTGGCCTTTTGGCAAACACACAGCCCATCCGAGTTACACTGTCACGCAGACTTGTCGAAAATCATTTTTTTTTTTGTAATTTTTTTTTTTTTTTTACCGCGCCAAAGGCTTGCTGCTTGTGTGAACACTCATTCGTCGCTGGCAGTCGGTTAATATGTGTTTTCTCATTTCCCTTTTGGGACATTGTCGGTCGCACACCGCTTATTTACTATATAGCTGCTCGCCGGAAAACCCATTACGAAGACACGGCTCTTTTGTCCGCAGTGTTATATACATCATGATGTATGTACCACATAGGGAACAGGGGAAAAGTGTCAAAATATACAGTGTCGTAAAATTCGTTTGGACGTAGTCAATTTTCAAGTACCTAGTATATATTCTCGGACATTTTTGCTTGGACTCACCCTTCGCGTGTTATCGTGGCATTCTATGGTCGGGACGTTTGCGCAATACACACAAAATTAAAAAGGTCTACTTGATTTTTCTATCCGTTTTTTTTTTTTTTTTTTTTTACGATCACACTAAGTGGTCGGGCCACTTTCTTTTTAATAAAACAGCTTTATTTAGATTACACGGGGGACGCCCTAATGGCAGCCCTTCTCCCTTTGCCGTTTATAAGGAGCGGCACGATTATCGAGGCCGGGCACGTCTGTGGACCTTTTTAACAAACCTGCCGGATCCGGCAGGCAATAAAACCGTATTCTATATGTATATATATGTACAGAAGTATATTTTATGTTTATCGCCGGCACATCAAAGCGGAGCTATTGTATAAAGGATTATAATAAGATAGGTTTATCCAGAGGAGATTTCCGCGACTAATCACATTACGGCGACGGACGACGCACTTGATAAATCCTCGAGGAAGGTTAGGTTTACCCGGAATTGGGCTTTAACACGAAATCGCTTCGCGGGCTGAATTCTGGAAAATCTAAAAAAAAAAAACAGGGAGGCTAACATTGTACGGCCGCCTTTGGGGCAACATCGTTAATTCTTTTGGTGTTACACACCCGTGCACTGTGTGTTGACCGACCGCGCTTGAAGGGGAGAAAAAACGCCTTAATTACATTCGTCACCCTTAACGCGGCGGGGAAAACTTTTTTTCGAAACAAAATGTATAAAACATTATACTTGATAAACTTTCGGCGAGCACACCCTTCGCCGGTCTAGCAGATGACTAAATATAACACCATTGTCTTCGGAGTACCCTGCAAATTATTTTAATGCTGAGTTGTTGACAAAAAAAAAAAAAAAAAAAACTCCCATAAATATTGTTAATTTCTAGAAAATGTTTTCCCCTGTTAGACATAAACATTAATTATCGTTCAAAGATCTCGGTCGCATTGTGTGAGCGGACGACCTTGAGCGCGTTTCTTTTGGATCGTAAAAAAAAAAATAAATAAAACAGCTTAGGGTTTTTGTATTAAATAGATAACGTTTATCATCTTGAAATATTCCCCATGGGAATTCGCTGACAAAAAAATACAACGCAAAACCTTTATGGTTTCCATTCCACGTCCCGCGGTGACATCTAGATAGACCGCGATAGTCGTACACACTGCAACCATTAAAAATAATCGTTTGCATCTGACTACTTTTTTTTCATTGCTACCGACTTTTACTGTGGGATCTATTTTTCCGTACCGAGTTTAAGGGTTGTAATTATTAACGATTTGAATTGACATTGTGACTGTCCAATGTCCCTATTAGTTGGCAGGGACGGGGGCTAGGTACAAAATTTTAATCAAAAAATCTTTTTCAATTAAACACATCAAGTACGTTCAATGTCACCCTGAGTGAAGGCACACCATTTACTTTTATGATTTATAAAAAAAAAATAAAAATACCAATCTGTGCGTTTGTCTTGAATATTTTAGCCTCGGTGCGAAGCTGAGACGGAATTGTTTCTACACAGACGATCAACCCCAATCGTATGCACCCTACTAAAAATATATTTTTAAGCTTATTTTAATGGTCATAAGCTGTTATAAATGCATTTAATGATATTTGCATTTCTACCAATACAGGTTGGAATCAAAGCGTTTATTTGATTATAACACTTTCAGTTGTAATAATTAATTTAGACCTGTCACCTGCTCTACCCAACTATGCTGTACTTACTTTATTTATGTTAAAATTGTTTTTTTTTTTGTATTACAGGTTTCTTGCTATAATTTTGTCTTGAAAATTTGGCGAAGAATTAGCATGAAACTTCTTATTATCTTGGGATTGGTCATAATAACTCCGGCGCTCCTGTACTTTTTGTGTATTGGTAAGTCTAAATAACAGTTTATATATTTCACTAAAAAGTTTTAGGCGCAGGCTGCTTTTTATTTTTCATAATGTTAACCACACAATTCGTTCATGTATCGCCGTCGACCGAGGTCACGTTAGTTGTAAAAAACGGTAGTTGCATTTTTGTGAGCGTCCATTTTTTTCCCAAAACCCTAATATACCACATCGGTCGGCTAACTGTTCCCACAGCGTAATTCGATACTTAAAAATATGCACTTGAAACTACCACGGATTAGGTTTCGGCTTTTATATAGATTTTCTAGTCGAATAGCTTGCACTCGTAACTTAGAACCTAGTCTCTTCTTTCTTATTTTGACCCAGTTTGTTTTTCAGTATGTAGTAAATCGTTGCGGTGCAGTAGCCTATAGCGTTGGGTCCATTTAAAAACCAATCTAGCTATTCGGTTCACTACAGATTGTATCGTTTTAACGGAACTGTTCTGGAATAATAAAAGTCTACGTACACATTTTATAGCCTCTGATAATATTTTGCGTGTCGAGGTTATTTTTAAACGTATCATAGTCATATTCTGCAGGCAGTACCTCTGGGATTTAATCCGGCACCGTATATCATATGAAAATATTGTTAGCCTGGCGGCGACGAGCATTTTCGCCGAAAGGCTTGAACAATACCGCTCTCGGAAACTCCCCTGATTCGCTATACATTGTCTATAAGAAGTTTATTGTACGTCCCTTAGTAAGCATTCCCTTAGGGGAACATGTGTTCGCCTTAGACAAAATAATGAGTACAGCTGAAAGCCGCGCACCAGACCGAGGAGCGTTTCGGTAGTCGACCTTTAAAGTTTTGCTCTTGCTGTCTTGTTCGTGATAGAATCGGTTGGATATGCATTATATTTTGGAGCTCTAGGGCTCGCGTGATTTAATTCTCATCACAACGTCGAGTGAGTATTTGCCGGCGGCAAGATGGTGTTTTCCCAATTCGGTTCAGCGATTTCGGGTATTAGGATCTACTAAAAAACTAGAAGCGTACAACAACGGCTGTCGCTGTAAGTCTCTGTAATCTCTCCTCGGCAAATCCTACGGATTAAATTCGGTAAACGTCATAAGGAATACTATCGCGAGTCGTTATCCTCGACTAATGCCTATAGTGCTGTGCAACGGTCGTAATCAGAGAGCCGTCCGTTTGCAAATCCCTTTGGAGTCTACTTGCGTACGCGTCTCGCCAGTCATCACAGTTAAAGCTCTTGTATTCTATGTACCGCGGGAGACGCTCTGAATGAATTCCTAATCGAAGCTCTAGCAAATCCAGAATGCCTGTCTAATTCGGATTCGAGAGGGAATCAACTGACATTACACAATGGACCTAAATTTACAGCCCTCGCGGATGTGTCTCGGTCGGATTGCAAACGCGAAATCTTCGATCCGCTAACTAATACCGCTTCTGAATAGTATTAATATTGGGCTATTGACGAGAGACCTTCCTGGCAAGCCGACGACGACACGACGGCAATACCAAGTTGAAAATAAATTCACTCTGTACACTTCAAATATCCGTTCGGTCGAGGATCGAGAGCTGTTTGGCTTCGATGCGACACCTGAGAAGTTTTTGTTTTTAATTTGCTTTGGAGAAAACTTTATTCACAGACTTCCGATGGCGTTCTAGTCCGAGTACGGCTGTATTTGTTATGAATTTCCACGTGCGAGACCCGACTGTTCGGTGGTTTCGTTTGTAACCATTGTTCGACGGCGAAGGTAGTACAATATATTTTAACGATCCTAAGCACCTGCTGTTGTCATGTCGGCAGTTTAGCGCGTTAACACTAATCCGCTGAGTGATCGGTTTGGAACCGTACCGTTATCATTGGCGACTCTGTAGAATTAGGGCTTCGTGTGTGTGATTTAAAAATGTGTATATATAAATATATACAAGTGGCATGTATACTGTGTGTGTGTGTGTATGTGATAGTGATATATTATTTTATTTTATTCGTTTTCGCGGGTGTCGTCGACGATAAGGGCACAGCCGAGCAATGAAATAACGTCAGCAGTTGCCACTCGGTGAAGTATGTGGTCTAGTGCAACGTCATAAATAACCGCCTAAATTCGCTTTTAAACCCGTACGATAACGTGCGTGGTCTGTGCTATTTTACTGTTTTGAAATATATTCATCCAACGGGGAAACACACGAAAACGTCCCGTCTTCATAACACTGAAATGTTTTTTTTTTAGTAGTTCATGGTCGGCTGTTATTTTTCATCTTCTTGCCCTTTTATTATTTTCTATGACGTGACAACCGCCTTGTTCGCCTTTCAGCTCCATAGATAACTGCTTGATCTACTACATCTCATGCGTTTGGCCTTTTTCCTCGGCCGGCTCTACTACTTGGTCTTGGGACGGTAAACAGTATAACAGCTATCGACGTTATGCGATCATTGTGGATTTTCTGAAAATCGATTTACGACGGCAATTAGGCGCGACCGTGAAGTCAAACTATGGAAGACGGCCAAATGGTAATTTAATATTTAGTCGAACACTCAATTGGCGTGTTGGCCAACTACGGACGTTGTAAAGGAAACCTGTATAACGCGGTCCATACACTTGTCGTGTATGTTGTCAGCAGATCAAATGATTTGCTCTGTGACGGACAGCAATCATTTTCCCGGCTAGGATGGTTATCAAAATGACTAATCTATGTCTATATTGTTTTAATTTACATTCGGAATTCGAAGACATACGGGACAATATTATAATTTCAAAAAGGTTAAGCCCCATATTGTGTATAATTCTTTACAGCAGAGTTACACGAGTGACTCAGACTATGAATTTTAACACAAAGAAGGTCGTCTGCTCGTCTTATCGATATCTTTGTCCGCATTATGGACGAGACAGAATAATATTATGACCGACCCTATGGGTTGAAAAATATTTTCCCAACGCTGAATTCCACGCCCAGATGACATTCCCTAAACTTTTTATTAAAAACGCACTTAAATTTACAAATCGTTTTCAATATTCAATTCGAAGCAAATTGTAGAAATCAAGCAAAAATTCATTATTATTTTACTCGACCAAAATCAATGGCGTATTAGTTATAAATAAGTTTTTATGGAAACTTTTAGCGTGACTCGTCAAAACAAAATATTTAATCAAATTCGTTACCAACCAACCGTATGGTGTGTGCCGCCAGTTGTTACATTTCGAATCAATATGGCCAAAGTAAGTTTTAGCAGCTAAAAATCCAGGTGCCCGCGTTTAATTTAAAAAAACATAAGAAAAAGTTATTTTGTAACTTACGAAAAATGTAAATCGCGTTTTTTTTTAATATAAATTAAAATCCTAATAAATTATGGCCAAAGACAATATAAACATTGTAGCGAATATTTATATTCATCTAATATGATAAAAAATTTTGCATCGTCATTTTTTTACAACGGTGTATACACTAAAATATTTTTTATGAAAACGAATTCGGAATTAAATAATAACCTTTTTTTATCTTTTGAATTCATCGAAACTTTCATAAGGACAGTGGCCGCGCATTCGGTTTGAATTGAATTATTCATTAATTTTTTAATATTTTTAGCTAAAAGTTGTGCAAGTGTTGTTGTGCTTTTGAGTTGAGGACTTTAGTTTTTACAGTAAAAACAAAACTGTATATTTAACAAATTCGAATAACTTTATTGGTCTAATCTTATGCGAAAACATGTTGGCGACTGCATTTCTTCTACGTTGTTAATTTACCAGTACGTTTAAAATTTTTAACACTCAAAAACGGTTTAGGTCGTCTGTCATTTTGGGCATTAAGCATTTTCCGTGGTATCCTTTTGGATTGGCCTTTGCATAAGGTTTGGTGCTACCTTATATATTTTTATTTTCTGTGCACGTGTGCGCTCGGCGAAGCGTTCCCGATTAATTATTCAAATTGCTTTTTGTAATTTCGAGCATGACAAAACGTTTAAAGGGACTCCCCCCCTCAAAAAAAAAAACATTAAAAAAAAGGTGATCACCTAAACAAACGTTTATCAATCAATATCGGTAAGCAAACAACGATTTCGGTTCGTATGGGCATTGGCGGTTTCCTTGAAATATTCTTTTATGTTTCGTTACCCAAATATTACCTTTATATTTCCCTCCGAGGGTCGTGTGTGCGCCCTTGTTGGCTGGCTAGGTATAGCGAATCAATAAAATATTTACATTATTATTATCATTATCACAATAGTGATGGGCCTGCCAAAAAAAAAAAATACTACAAGAGAGTGTTGTCGAGAACTGCTGCCCGACGGTCTCATTACCGTTTTGGGTTCTTCGGTGGTGGTTTTTTATTTTGGTATTTTTCGAGTGGTAGTCCACAAGTGTTGTGTAAGAGAGCCGACCGAACAGTAGCGTTGACGGTGATTGCCATTTAGACATTTTCTAAAAAAAAACCCTGCTCGAAAAACGCTGAATAAAAATAAACAATTATTTTTTACACGTTTAACGCGGCCAAAACTATTGTTCTTACAATAGATTTTTTATGTTTTTTTGGTTACTATTTTTTTTTACTAATAACGCTTCGAACGCCCCCCCGCAGGTTATGGGATGTGTGTCAGATCGTATTTTCACTCTTTGGTAAACATTTTCTTTTGGAACGGCCAATCCAAACCCAATAAACACGCTGCCCGGCATCCGGCTAGCCTTCATAAACCAACCCAAAAACGTCAACAACACTGATCGTTTCCCGACAGTCTTCGACCCGTTCACGTTTGATCGTCTGTTTGCTGCTCGTTTCGACCCCACGACCATAATAACTTTTACAAAAATATCTTCACATCTCTGCACTACAAGACACCTCGACACATCCTGTTGATTCATATATCCAACTACTAACAATGTGGACCGCTGCCGATGTTTGTTTGATGCTTAGATTCTATGCATTGATACCGCTGAACCCACGTCGGTCCATGTTCCATTTTATGCTCGATATCTTCTTTTTGTCCTCCTTGGGTTCCGCTATAATAGAATACACTGAGTTTGCACCGTCTCCCCTGGGAGCCGCGCTAAAAATGCATTTCCGGCATCACGTGTTGTTCGTAAAAGGCAACCTAACCACCGAGTTCGGGAGTAGCGACCCCGGCGCCGGGAATGATTGGAATAAGTTCCAGCAATTTCTGTAAAACGCTCCCTAAAAACGATGTAACAATGTAAATAAAATCGTTTTGCGATGATCGTTTCACGTTTAACGTCTGTATTACCCTAATAAAAAAAAAAAAAAAAACTAGGGCTCGGTTTGGGTTTTTGATTTTTGTAGTTTTAGATTATTAACGATTAACAATAGGTTAGTGAGCGATAGGTGTTAAGCTATAAGTATAGTTATAATAAGACTAGGAACGTTTTAAGGTTACAGATTCTAAATTAGGTTAAGACGGGATGGGCTTGACCGAATGGGGAACAACTCAGTTATTCCACTTTCGGTCACCGGAAGTTTCTTTATCTTTTGCTACGGAAAGAAATTGCCACCTCCCCGGGTCCCAAATTTTCATTTGGTCAGTGCAAGAAACGGCAATCTCGACTGTAATCCCAAGTTGCCAGATCAATAACCTTACCTATACAGACGTTAAACGTGAAACATATAAAATAAAATTAATTAGGTTACAATTTACGAGAGTAATAATTTTTAGAAATAAATATATATATATTTTTATTTCCCTTTTCACTTCCCGTTTATTAAAATTAGTTCAGATTAAATAGTATTTAATATTCTAAAAATGTAAATCAGAGTGTAGAATGCTTAATATATTATATTATATTACCCAACTCGTTTAAACTGTAATAATAAATTAACTATGTAAAAAAAAAAAAAAAATGCCCATTTAACGTTCAAGGCACACCGTCCAGTCGCATGTCTGAACCATTATGCCTGTATCCTAGTATTTTAATTTTATAGATAATGTGCTTAGATTAATAATCTTTATAACTTAAATATCAAAAAATGTAAATATATATTTTTTTTTGTTGAAAATAGTCGCTATAATTTTACTTTAACTTAGGTTAATCAATCCATTAACAATCGTTATTTAAACTTAAATATTTAATAATGTAAATAATGTTATAATATTGAAAATCTTTACTATAATTTTAAGCGCGCTTTTCGATTGAGATAAATCGTTTTTAAAAAAAACATTTAAAACAATCCAAAAAAATCTCATCGTAGCAAACATTTCGATCAAACGGACCGATCCGTGTTTCCCCAAACGTATCCATTTCTTATCCCTATGAGGTCACTCTCTTCGTCGTTCCACTGCACAACTGTGGCACAAAATACAACTTGACCGACCATCGGTGCATCTTGAGCGGTGGCGCAGACCTCGTATAGTAAGTAAGTTTGGATATTTTGGTCTGAAGATCGTTTTTTATTTAGTGATCACAACCGTGGTCGTTCGAATGGTATTTTGGTTTTTGTTAATATAATAATTGTTTATTTTTTAAAGCGTCAAACCGGCTAAATGGCGTCGGACGATAAACATAATTATTTTTTTACATTTTTTTTTTTTTTTTGTTGCCAATCTTGGGTAGTGATAAATAATAATTGCACGTTATCTAAAAAATTAGCGGAATGACAGCAAACGTGTGTAGATAATACACACAAGTTCATCGGTATCTTTGTCCCGGTTTGCCAAATCGCCTACTTAGGGTTTGGCAATGACCCATATCAACTATATAATTACAAACGATTAGTGTTCTGTTGAAAAATTAAAAATTCCCGATAATATTAATCGTCTCTCCTTTATCAAACGATTTGCTTGTAGTTGTTTTACTTTGGTCGGCTTCGTTTTGGACTCTCTGCCGTGTCGCATCTTGCAATTTTTTTTTTTTTTTTGTTAAATTTTAAGACATTTATTGATCAAAATTACGGCCTTTACAAGTATATATAGAATAATTTTTTAGTTTTTTATATTTTGTCAGCATTAATAAGACATTTTGGCTTGGACAGACGGTTATTTACACGGTCACACTTGACAAACGTAGCGTTTGCAAAATCCGTTACATAATGCTTTAGTTTTTCCGTAGATTTTTAACGCCTGTAAACAAATTGTTTTTACCCTTTTAACGTGGCATTGTAATTTTTATGGCTCTTATCAAACGTTTGCACCGAAATTTCCGTATAGACCTATGCGGGGCGACGGTGATTCTCTCGACAATGGCCTACAATATCCGAAAACGGTTATGGCGATAATTCGCCTCCATAACAATGCAATCCAACGGTCCAAGGACTTAGGGCTCAGGGCTCAGGGTGCAATTGTGTTTAATTTGATCTTCTGGCGGATAAGACGCGTCCTTGTCAGTAATAGTATATTGTACCTATGGGCTATGGTGGAGATGGAAAAACTGTGGGGAACGATAACACGATGACTGGATAATAGCGAAACGGTTAGATCCACAACACCCACGAGGGTGGTTTCCGACCATTGAGCACTTACTACTCGAGAAGCTTCTTTTTTTATTTGTCAATTTCCATACGATGCGCGTTTTATAGCGCATATAAAACCGGTGTCTCTAGCATCTGGATATCATAATATATTTTTTTCGCCAACCGGACGTCGAGTAGGTAACAACCGTCGCGGGTAACGTGCATAAATCTGATTCGACGATAAGAGACCACCACCTTACACGTTCATCTCTGGTTCCCATTTCTATCTTTGTCCTGACCAAAATATTCTAAACCCAATCTTATGTATTTACATCTCCAAAGCCGGGTTCTTTTCCCCTCCGTTACTTGAGTACTTGAGTACTTTAAGTACTCAGTCGTCGTTGCACCGTGGTAATGCGATAACGGTGGAGTTACACTGGTCACAGTAGTACACCGGGCTATTATCGTCCCATCCTTATTGCACTTTAATAAGACTTAGAGCATGCCAAGCATGGTATACGGTACGCATGCGACAGTGGAGTGTCCATCTATGGACATTATGTGTTGATATTTTTTGCAATTTACAGTTGTTCTCATAAAGCAATGCTTAATAGGTCTATGCGACGACATGGGCTGCTGGGATGATGAAGACAACTACGAATCTACTCACAGAGAACCAAGGTAAATTTAATTTTTCCTGTATTTTATACTTAGCTGTTTAAGATTAGCTGTCCAATACTATAATTTTTAAGTTTTAATAATTGAATTGATTATCTATGGTTATTATTCCCTGACTATGTATTAATCCAGATTCTTATAAAAATTGTACGGGAGACTTCAGATAGGACATTTTCAAATCACATATTGACAATAATAGCGCATTAAATATTCGTTAAAGTCCCGAAATATGTAAAAAAAAAAAATTCAATGTTGTTCTAAAGTATACGAATCTTGGAGACCGGCCAATCCATTCAACACGCGGTCGTTATGCCAAAAACAAATAACTGAAAATCTGGGTGGTACGGTATTAACCTACTACAATCTTTCACGACGTTGTGCACAACACAGTTGTAAGCGAACTGTGTCATCTGTCACTGAATGAGATTATTGAAAACTTAAAAACTCACACAAAAATACTATTAATATTTTACACGCCGTTTAAAAAATCCTGTATTCTTGGCTGGCCTTCAAGAAAGTAGTCCTAAAGTTATTTTAATTAATTAAGGCCCGACTTACTGACCGTCAGCCTATTGAAATTCAACAATTTTTTAATGTAATACCTCTTATTTAAGCTGGAAAAAAATGTATTACCGCAACTTCTTTAGTTCAATTTTAAATTGCCTTTTATTTTTTAATTGAAAATGTTATTTTTTTTACACAAAACAATTACACATAAAAGGTGTATTTTATTTGGAACATATTCATGTTGGTTAGAAAAAACGGTTTCAAGTCCACTAAGTTCAATTAACACTATGATTAGTAGCTGTTAGTCGTTCTATTTGAATAAACTGTACGCTATCATCAACAACTATAGGTTATGATTATCTTTATACACTTTCAATATTAGCATTATGAATTGAATTGCCTGTAAACAAACCCGTATCAGTAGCATAGTTAGCGATAGTGGCAATGATGAAATTAAATAATAATCATACTATTACTGTTGACTGTTTATTTTGTAATAAAAGTAAATGCAGCAGAACCAACGCCCTCCGAGCACCGTGTACAGTTATATGAATATTTAAATTATAGATTGTTAAAAGAAAATTAATCATCTAAAGAAAATTCACCATTTTGTTCCTTGTACTCCAATAAAATATTATTATAGCGAATTAATGTTTAATGGTATTTTTATTAAATAAATGACCCCGAAGAGGAATATTTAAGTCTGTAATTCAAATACACGATGGAATGAAAATTGGTCGTTTTAATCTGCAAAACAGGACCACTTGTAATCCCCTCGGAGTATAATCAAACCCATACTTATTGCGCGGATTAAAACATAATTAAATACTTAAACGCGCGTATGGAGAAAAAAAACCACTCCGTTACGAGAATTATTATTTAATAATCGGTCGGTCAGAATTTGGCTTTTAACTCGAATGAAACATGTAGAACTAAAAAAAAAAAAAAAAAATAACTACTTTAATCACGGGCTATTATAATCGTGTTTTAATTATAATGGTACCAAGTTCCAAGTACACATTTCGACGACGGACCACTGGTGCAGTGAACGACTAGTGGATTATTTTTTTTTTTTTCATTTTATTTATTCTTTATTATAAGAGAAAAAATCAAAAAAATCCAACCCTCGTTGTCGACGTGATCCGCGTTCGGGTCCGACAGTGACGATTATAATAATTATTATCGTATCTACTACGTCGTCTATTTGATTCGACAACGACCACCAGACCGGTGCTGGACACTGTAATAACAATTATTCAATCACACGGCCGTTGGGCAGAACCGCCGTGTGCACAACGGCTCTAGACTCGAACGGTTACACCGGAAACGATAATAAACGTTAAATGGAACGCAAATGTGCACACACGAGTTCACGGTGCGTGTTAAACTCGGTTTAATTATCGCCTAAACGAATAATAAAATACAATTATATGTAAATTCGGTTTTGTCGAAACGCTTTTGTCGCACGAACATTGTGCTGACTTTTGTTTCCCCGTGTAAAGTTTTTCGTAACCGCCGTTCAAAGTCCTTCAACGGTCTACCGGATGTATAGTGCACCTCTTTTCCAGCCCTCCATCAACACCGCAGACTACATTAATTCATAAACATCCTTTTATGCTACGTTTCATTAATTGTAATTTTATAGATTTTAAAATAATCCATTTGCTCGCAAAACTTTACACTGTTGTTTCATCATACACAGCTGGTCCGTCACTAGCCCTGGAATCTTTACAAGTCAATTTTTAAAAATGATTCCAACAAGATGTAATGTTCCACGTCCGCCTGGTTCGCCGCACTAACCTTTATTAGACTACCTAAAACTAGAACCTTTGAAAAAAAACTGATTTAAATGTTGATTTGTTCTATCATGTTTCATTTAATGGCTGCTTAAATAATTTAGTTAAGGAAATTTAAACTCTTGTTATTATAAACCTTTTATTTCATTATCCATCAACTTGTTTGGCGGCTGTAAATATATTTGTATTGGGCACTTGCCCGTTCCAATTAAAATAAATATAATATGTTCATTGCCAATGTCGACCCTTTCTTTAAATAACTTCTAATTTACACTTAGTTAGTTGCACTGAGTGTATGTAATTTGTGTGTACAGCTAACCGACCCTAAAACAATATTTTTTTTTCGTTTACCCGAAAAATCTTTAATTTTGGGTAAAAAAAATAGAAAACGACAACACGGGAAGTGACTCAGAGCTATTTTGTCTTATCCATTCGATCAACACGTGTGAAGCTTATATCTTTTTTTATTTTTTACTAGATCTTTTACGGGTTGGAAGCTACAATATTCTCAACGAGGCTTCAATATATACTTTTTTATGATTTTTTTTGACATCTTTCCAACGAGCATAATTCGAATATTGCAGTACAGTATAAAATATTATATAGTAAAAATGAAAAAAAAAAAAGATACCATCTTCACGTGTCTTATTAATTTACAACTCAACATTTCTTCTTTGGGTAAACAAAAATATAATTAACATTGTTTTGGGTCGGTCTAGCGTGCACTCGTGTTATTTCCCAAACGCTTAGCCCGTATATTCTTAACAAATAAGTAAAGGTGTAGGATATTTTTGTTATTCGTTTTACCGACATACTAATGTCATTTTTGTATTTCAGCGAGTACACCGATCTACTGGTGTACGAGTGTGGCGATGGGAAAACACTTGAACTAGAGCACGTGTGCAACAATATAACGGACTGCAAAGACGGTTCTGACGAAATGGATTGCAAGGGTTAGTACAACATACAAACAACAGTAATTATTAACGTTAAACTTGTATACTACAACGGATGATGTAGTTGTAGTAGATCGGCGACCTAAAACGTCGGAAACAAAAATCGAACCGGTTCGACGGCTTTGGAAAAAGTACATATAATAAGAGTTAACATTAAGAACACTTGGAATAAAATGTCGGTTATGAGGAGCACAGTGGCGAAATTTTGTTAGATTTTTGTTGTTGTTGTTGTTGCGAAAGACGTATCCACCTTAACTTTTTTTATATTCGTGTCACTTGGGTCGTGAAAAAATAAAAGAGATGTGTAAAACGTCGTAGGTCTGTGTGAGGATTTAGAAAGCGAGGCGATCCAGGAGTGACCCGGGGGTCAATGGAAGTATACAGGACTTGACCAAAACGTAGAGAGGAGTAATGTACAATTTTGACACGGTGAGAGGTTTTTAGAATCAAACGGAACTGAAGGGAGAGCGACTCGCGGGTAATTAAAATAAAATACTATAAAAAACTAGAAATATAAATGTTTATATTTTTAACGACCCGCGGGTCACCACGGTGCGGTGGTATAACACGTGGAACCCAATACTCTGTAGGACACAATCGGTTGCACGCCGAAGCCAATCGTTTTAATTATTTTTTTATTTAAATTTATTACCGATTTCGTTATACAGGACACAAAATACAGATACGAGTCGATGTCATTATAAAGTATATGTATATATATATATATATATATATTTTACAACGACAACGTGTATCTGTTGACTATTTGAAAATTTTTAATAACTCTGTTCTCGTTTCTGGCTGATTTATGTACGTTTTACGGTAACATCATTAGTGTTATTTAATTTTTTTTGTAAGACCTCATTAACATTTCATATGTTTGCCAACGTCGACATTGTTGTTCGACATAGGTATTCACCGGGCAGACTCGAAACGAATATATACTATATTTTATTATATTATCTGTTTTGTGTTTGCGACGGATTGAATTATTATTGTTTATCAGTTTTATTGTTCCAAAACGACACGATATTAATTTTCGAGGAGCACTTAATTGCGAGCACTTAACGACGTTCGGATAATAATAATAATAATAATATTATATCCCCGTGACAGTTTAGAGGTCGTAATTATATTACACAACACACCGTCTTTTCGAGTATTTTTTTTTATTTTTTATATTTATTAACGTTTGTAAAATATTACTATTTGGAAAAACATTAAAAAAAAAAAAACCGTACCTACATATTTTGTAGCAATCTTACCGAAAATCTTACCTACCGGTTCCAGACGACGACATGTGTGTGCACACGGTGCGCTGCTAAGGTGCTGTTTACTCGTAGCCCCACGGCGTTGTATATATTATATATGTATATATATATATATTATATTATTATATTTACCTGTCTGTACAGGCAACTGTCTGAACCGGCACACGTTAAACACAATATTTTCCGGGCAAGCGGGATAATGAAATTTCCGTGCGGCAATAAAAACGCACTTTTTACGACTTCTGGCGGCGCTGTCGGGCCCGAGCCGTATTTGCTTTCAGGGAAAAAAATATGAATAAATAAATAAATATAAAATACCGAACATTAGGCACAGTCGTTCGGCGATTACCATCTGCGGGAATTCGTTACATCCCTTCCTCGTGGGCCGTTTGTTTTTTAGTCACACCAGTGGGTCGCTGGTGGTCGTTGGTGTGGAATACAAAGCAACGACGACACAATCGTTTTGAATAGATCGGCTTGTCATTTACCGGTCGGTCCCGTTTTGGACCTGTCGACGACCTGTTGCACCGGTCTGAAAAACGCCCGTTATCCTGTTTCTTAACTAAAGGTTTTTTTTTCTTCTTATTTTAGGGATGATGTACATGACTTACGGACGGAAAAATCCCAATTCCAAATTGCTAAAGCCGCCGCCGATTCGCAGGGAAAAGAAGAAGACCGCCGCCGCCGCCGCCACCAGGTAATTGGATCTAATAATAAATAGGATAAAAAAAAAAACGCTTCTAGTAGCGCACCAAGGGTTCGTGATTTTTCGCCAATGCGAATAGAAGGAAAAAAACAAATTGCTCAAAACAACTATATTCCTAGACAATTGTGGTTTACCACCTACAAGTGTCCGGTCGTTATTTGAATTCCCGAGATTTGAAATTCATATTATGCACTCGTGTAATTGTTGTTTGTACTTTGAATTACAGCAAATTCCGTCACTTGTCCTTGGTCTCGTGTGACCCTAAATGCAAATGCAAACCAAGGCTACCCTCTAAAAGGTTTTCAAACTTAGCCCTACCTGATTACGAATAGGCACTATGTCATAGTTTTAAAAATTTCAGCGGACTCATTAAAAAAAAAAAACAAAAATTATAAATATAATTCTTTAAATTGGCTCATAAACAACAGACGTTCTTTTAACATAATATATAATTATTATAAGCTAATAACACTTATAAGAAGTCAATTTTGGAGAACCTCTTCCAAATGTAAACGCTTTTAATTAATATTAATAATTTTTTTTTAAAGAACACATTTCCAGATAAAACACATTCAGGTATTGACAATAACCGCTTTATAGTACATTAGTTAAGCGCCTGCGGAAATAAACCAATTAATAAATTGGTTGTCAAAAAGTTTGTAAAAATATTTCAAAAATTATGTTTTGACAGGTGATTAACTGTTTCAAAATTATCCAGCGAAATGTTCTTACTGAAGTATTGTGAAAACACCTTCAACGTTTTACTTGTATTTTAATTAATACTATGATGATATTTTCTATATTTTAATAATACCTGTACAATACTATGCTTGAACAATTGTTTTATATTTAATTTCATATCTTCCCAAAATTTGCATTTTTTTAATATAAACTTTTTGACGACTTTTTGAAAATATCAGTAGTTTTTATTTAGAATGCTTAACGTTAGAAGGACATTTTAGCTTTATAATTAAATCGTATGACCATACACATTTTTATTGTACAAACTAAACACACCATTTAAATAGACAATTTTTTTCGCCACAATAATTTATTAACTTCAAGAGAAATTTTGGAAATACCTTTAAAGTGTCTTTTTTTTTTACATCATAGAACCGTTTCATTTTTGGAAAGTTGGGGTTTTAGATGCCTCGGAAGACATTCAATTTTGGGCCGAAAAACGATTATAAAATATTTTCATAATAACTACGATTAATTTTTAAATATATCATACTTGGGCACTACTTTTGATTGTTTTTTCTGCATATTTATTATAAACGTAATAATCTATCTTTGGATTTACTCAAAATGTACAGAAGAAGGTCCTCTGCAGTTCGGTTTGTTTTCAACCGCTTACCTTGAGTCAGACAGATCGAGAGTCGGACACATTTGAGAACGTTTAAAGGTAGACCAAACGGGTATTTGGCCGAGCCGCGGCCATGCATAATGTTCTCTTATCTTACATATGTAATCGCATAATAATATATCATTATTATTATTGCTTACAGTAGACACGTCTCGAGGCGTTTGAAATTTTTGCATAGAACACAATCGATACGGAATATTATTATCATATTATTATTCCTACAACACCGGAACGTTTGACAATAATTATTGCAACAGGTCTAACCCCAACGTAGTAGCCTGTCCAAAACCGTCGGACGTGTAACACTTATTTATATATATATATATATATATATATTTATATATATTTTTTTTTAACGATAAATTACAATAAAGTTACACCGCAGGATAATAAGCGTAAGTGCGTTATTTATGCGAATAGACGATTAAAGAAGGCCCGCCTAGCGCGTTCATCGTTATGTAGGTATTTAATTTTTATGTACGCGTATTATATTATATTTATGTATATTATTATTTTCTCGGATATATTAGAATAAGGCGATTCCGTAAAAAAAAATTTAAAAAAACGACACATTATAACATTTTTTTATTATTATCTCGGTATCGTGTATTTTATATTTATTATTATTATTACACTACGCGGCGGCATTAATCCTCGTCGGTTGATAGCTCAATAAGAGACCGTACATTTATCATATTTATTTATTTTTTTTTTTAAACACTCCAACGTGTACTCGAGATGTTACATACAGAAGTTCGGATAATTATTTTTTTTCAAACGTCATATTGTGTACACGGCAAAACAGTATGGTATATCGTGTGACTCGACGTATGGCATGAACATATTTTTAATCATTTTTTTATTTTTTTTGTATTTCGCTAGCCTTCAGTTAGCCCGGCCAGACATGTCTGTCAGACTGTGTGTGTATAATATATTTTAGTTTTTATCAACTCGACTAATCAATCAGTGTTCGTCGCGTCTGACCCGGTAAAATATATTCCGACGAAAATTGAATTTCAAATTAAACACATCCGTATATTTATATTATATTTAAAAAAAATAATACAAGCGTGGGATTTCAACCGTACGGGTATTTTTTTTATTTATTTATTTTTTTTACATAAATCATACTTATGCGGTTTACCGACGATAGCGAAAACGACACGAGGAAAAAGTCGAATAATTGATTAGATTTGTATAAGCTCAACAGAGGTCAACGTTCACATTATTCATAATGGGCAAAAAAATAAAAATAAAAATTATAATATACCACCAAGGAACGAGTTGTTGACGTTTCAACCGTTTCATTTCATTTAACAATACTCTCCCGTATAGATAATAGTATATTTTATAATGCGTCGCCCCTTTGGACGGGCGCGAAGGATTCAATCTCTTCGGGTATAGTGATATATTATTATAATTTTTTTGGCCTTCTCCAAATCCTGAGTTACGGCGTTTTCGACTTAAGAGAAATGAATTATTATTGTTGTATTTGATAAAACGTCGGAATCGCAAACGTTTTCTAACGATAAAAAATTAATTACTTTGACCCGACAACACCAGATACTCGCTACACGCCACGTGTCAAACGAGCAGATATTTTTGTTTCTCAAATTAAGTCTAATAGCGAGTAAAAATAAGTTAATAAGACATGTCACAAAATAATCAACAAGCGACGTTCAATTATTTTTTTTTTTTTTCACAACGACTTTGTACAGTGACAGTCTTTTTTTTAGAACAAGAGTGATTTAATTTTGGAGAACCTACTTAATTATTCGATTTAGAGTTTGAGCATTTTCGAAGCCAACAAAAATATGTTTTAATTAAAGTCAATTTCAGTCCTGTGGTCTTATATTGTAAGATTACAAAAACATTTTTCTGGTTTGTCGGCCTATTTGCTGTGTTTTTTTGGAATATTTTTTTTTGCTTGTTTGAAATTTTTAAAAAAAAATGTGTTTTAACGTTGTAAAATTTCCACACAATATGTTTTGATTTTATTCCAAAAAAATCCAACAAACTTAAAAAAATCAAATCGGACCCTTTCAAGTGGTAGCCAATACGTTGTCGAGCCTTTTGTCGGAAATTCCATAAAGCCACCACACCCTTTCCGTCGTCAATCATCTTGGTAAAACAAACTATTTATTATAAGTGGTTTGAATTTCATTTCTTTTTTTCTTTAATTTTTTTTTTTTGGCATAATATCGTAGACCGGGGCCCTCTATTGTCTCTCCCTCCAAGGTCGGGTTAAGTTAATTTTTTTTTATCGACGTCTTTGTACAAATTGTCCACCCACTCTCTTTTTCCGCTGTACCCGTTGAAACGTCCATTTTTCTTAATTCTCTCACTCGATTAATACTATTTTGTTTTTCTCTCTACGTTCGACACGTCCATACCGTCTGAACAATAACAATATGTCTCCTCTCATTTTTCTTGCTAATTGGCACAGCGCCAAAACTGCCTCTTAAACACTAATTATTTATAATTCCATCGAACCTCCCAATCAGTATAGTCCCTTCGTAGGTGCATATACCACGTTCATTTCAAGTTCTTACTCCGAACCCTGTGTGTTGGTCGCATATAATAGAATAATAATTGTTGACTTGCATAATCGCCAAACATAACACCTGTTACCTATTGTTATCGCCTGTTTTTTTTTTTTTAATTTACACGTTTATTATGATTTTTTTTTTCAAGTGCTTCAAACGACAAGTATAATAACAACCAGCCGGCCCGGCAAAACCCGAAAGAGGACCCAAAGGTCGACGAAAAAGTGACAAAACGGACGGCTCAGAAGGTAAGAAAAATCCACTAAATATAGATAACTCTATACACTATTGTCGTAGTCGATTAGAGCGGTTGTCGTTCCACACAATTATTATTATTGTGTGTGATTAGATACCTACAACGATTTTCATGTCACTTGATTTATGTAGGTACTATAAAATAGGATGCACAATGCGCCGATTTGGAACACTACACACACCACACACGGGTCCTTTGGTTTGTTAGGTTTACCAAACTAGTCAATTGGTTTTGATGACACAATATAGGTATATATTTTGGGTACACCTACATTGTGATGCACACCCACCGGCCGTTGTGTGGTTTATGTATAATATTATTGTATTTTAACCGTTTCCCATTCGGCGTTGGCCATCAGATTAAATAAATAGAACGCGTCGCCGATACACACACAATGGGAATATATTATTTTCGTATTTTAGAAAGCGGTTAACACCGAAAAATTGTGTTTGTGTGTATAACTTGTATCGAATTCCCGGATGGTTTTTATTATTTTAATAACGCCAAATCAAACGGAACGCTATTTTTATGTTAAATCGGTACTTAAGTTACGGGTAACGGTCTGTGCTCATCCGGATTCCGCCACATCGGTACTACGGTCACTCTTGGGTCGTTCCCTCTTATATTAATAATATACTCTATTATATATTGTGCGGTATACAATATTAATATAACGTCATATATATATATATATTGGCACACGGTCTGGACGTGTTTCACTCACTCACAGGATTATTCGGTGCGGCACAATCTATCATCGGGCCGACTCTCGTCCGTGTGCGTGGGCGCAGCAAAAAGGGGGAAAAAAATATTAAAAATATATTCTAGCCGGTCTCAACACGGTCGAGGTTAACCACCGCCGGCCTATTGGATCCCAAAAAAAACACTTAGTTCGGATATTACTTCGCTATTGAACGTACCTACCGACAGACCGCCGTCCATCACTGTGTATATCCTAACCGATCCCGGATTTTCAACACCGACCGGAGTAGAGGGCGACCTGAGGGTAAGACAGGACAGTGTGTCCGCAGTGTTGAAAATGTCCCAAATGGGCGGTGAAGGGGATTTGATAGTGGGGATGAGATATTTCCTCGACAACTGATGCGAGGTTACTGATACGAAATGATCTTTGGAACGCAAAACCCGTCTTGGATGATGCAAGCTTGAGGAACCCCAATTGTTTTTCACACGCAAAGGTATCCAATAAGAAGAATTGTTGCAAAGGTTAGAAGCCGTCAATCTACATAATGTATTATTTAAAAAGGCGATTTTCGATTTCTATCTGGTAGGACTTGGAATTTTGCATATTTTAAACGCTTATTAGAAATTCGGAAAATCGCCTTTGTAAATATATGCAAATAAGGTGTCCGCTATTAATTTCGTTCTTTGGCCTGTGTATAAGCTAAATCCGGTCACAGTCGTCTACCGAGACATCAGTGTATTTTGGTACGAAAATAGAGCCGGACCGCGTTATAAAAGACAAAGACCCACGTTGTTTCACACTGGCTGTGTTCACATAATACTAGTATAATCTGCAACAATTTCCTACACTTTCCCTTTTATTAAGTACCTGGTAAGTACGGAGACGTGTAAAATTATAATAGCTTTTTTTTCTCTCGATCACTTTGTTTTACCTACACAACCGATTGGCAACTTTAATCTTGAAAATTAAATGAAATAATAGAATTTTAAATATATTAAGCCCTCTTTTTCGAGAGCCCTCGTCTTTCAGTAACAAAACGAAAATATTCATACTATCCAAACAATCTTCTTTAACTCGTCTTCGATTCGGTCATACTTTTCACTCTTATGAATTATTTTTTCAACGGTTCACACGACGTACTCATTACCAAAATCTATTGTTCACACAAGTCATTCATAAGACAGCATTAATTAATGAAATTTAAATATAAAATTAAATGACCATACAAGGAAATTGAGTTCCTCGAATCACACCCCAGCGTTTTTAATTTAAATAATGCATAATGGAAACGACGAGTTATTAATATGGATATTTTTTTTTAATTAATTCCATGTGATAATTTTTCAATTAACACTTTTTATTTATTCTTTCAAATAATACGTTACAAAAATTATTTTCATAATTAGTCGAAACAAATACAGGTTTTCGTTTAATTACCTTTTTTTTTTTTTTGATAATTTAAAATTCGAACGGTTCCAATCATTTGTTAGGTGTTTAAAATTTGTTTACGAGCGCAGTGGTGCGTCTCCAGTGGCCAGCAATTCTAAAATTGTAACAGAATATGGGTCGGGGAAGATTTTAAATCTCAAGGGGGTTCTAAAATTACAGTAGTTACTATACTTATCGTGGAACTGATATTGCCAATACACCGACTGCGGACGACGCCTTTGCGTCAAACGCCTACGCGGAAACGCCTTTTTTCCTGATTGCAGAGACTTAAGGTTTTGTCCCTACGATCTCGGACAACGCCGTCCGGGGCAAGGCGGTGCCGGTTCGAGGAACAATTATTATTATTACCAGTAGCAGTTAAATAACAATATTAATAATAGTAGTAGCGTAATGGCGCGTAGGACGTCCGTCTCGTGGCGGCGATACCGCGTGTGTCGGGGCGTTGTAAAAGTGTAACGCCGCGCGTAATGGCGGTGGCAAAGAAAGGAAGAAAAAATAAAAATACAAGAAAGAAAGAAATTTCGCCTTGGGCCGCGCGTCTCGGTGAAAGCATTGCACACGATACTATTATCGTTACCAGTAGTGAGTAAGTAATAGTTTGTACAGGTGAACTCGACCGCCGTTAAGGTCGTTGACCGTCTTACATTTTTTTTTTTTTTGAAAAATGTTTTACAGAATTTATTCCTCTCCGCCGCCGCCGCCCCTTTTGACCTCATTGTTTCGGGCGATACCGACCATTTCGACTTTTTCGGCCATACAATATTGTAATAACGTTATCGGATCGCGGTCGATGTTTGATAATACAATTATTATTATAATATCCAGACGGGTGAAAAAAAATTAATAATAACCTAGTAGCAGTATCGACAGCAGCGGCTGCTACTATCTCCTCTCGAATTAAAATAATAATAATGCTAATAATAACAGAGCTATTATACAATGCCGGCGGCCGCGCCTTTTATCGTTATTAATCATTCCCGTGACGACCAATCGACGCGACGGGAGCATTCCGAATTCCAATGTGGTTTTCACGCGGTTACCGGTTGTTACCAGTGTACTAACACGCGGTTATTATTGTAACTATACCCATATCATTATTATGACGTAACGGCGATTCGATGAAAACCCTCATTTTCCCGTCTAGACGCCACAGTCTATGTTATTATTTATTATAAATACAAATCAATCGGCTATTTTTGGCACCAGCTAATCTAGTTGAAAAATCGGTAGCGACCGGGCTGGGTCACGGGTCTGTGGAAATTGTTCTGAAAGTCAATAAAATCGTGTCGAACACCTGTCCGCAATGCAAATTTGTAGATGATGAAAAAAAAAAATGTAAAACCAAAATACCTTTCAAGTCAACGAGGTCCTTGTTTTGGGGATTTTCATGAATTTGTCTGATCAGACCTACGAGACTCTAATTAACTTTTAAACATTTTCCATTTTTATCATAGTGCCAAACCCAATCTAATTGATTAGTATTAAATATTTCTATGGATGGTTTTAATGAATCCGATTCCGCCAGTGTCGACTACTGGTAGTATGCTGCCTAATCTTCTTGATTGGTTTTAGTATTAATTTGCTTTTTGCGTGAAAATAGTCCGTTCGGGTTGAGCGAAAGTCGGCCTGGCAACTAATAAAATATTGTGTTGGCATTTTCAAAATAACCTCGTGGTCGTCAGACCCTTTTCGTTTCACTCTGCTGGACCCTTCTGGTCGTATTTTATCCTATTCCGTAGCAGCAGGTAAACTTGCCCTAGACCTTGAGCCGAGAAAAATCGATACAAAACTCGGCGACGCACACAAAACAACCCCTGGTAATATTTTTCCCGTTGAATAGGCTTTTACTGTGCAGGCCTTTTTTGTCCATTGAGAGACTCTCGTGATTTCCTTTTTTAATTTTATGGAGTTACCCTAATCTAGAGTGAAGTATTCCATTAGACAGCAATCGGAAACAATGAGAACTCCTCTGAAGATACAAGGGCTGGTGCTATTTGGTAGGATTAGGTTAGATTAGGTTTAGTATAGAAATTTACATTTGCTAGTGATTTCAACTATTGTGCAAGACAGTTGTTATACCACTTGTTCGGTAAACGATTTTCGTATGCAATGTCTCTGAATTGAAATCAGAATATTTTCTTACTTTTTTTCTTACGTTCATCGTTGAAGAACATTATTTCCAACGAATTTCACCGAATTTCAAGCGCAGAAAACTCATTTGGTAAGACTTGACTCGTTTGAGGTGGATCCGATTTTCGTAAAATCCCGTCCAACGTTGGGAATTCCTACAAAAGACATGACATCCAGAAAGATGGAAAATTTTCGTCGAATTTACAGTTCACATATGGCCACAGTTTAAATGCAATTAAAGATATGTAGCCAAATTTTAATAACCTCAGGTCAGCGTGACCAAAAGACGAATGAATCGTTGATCTTTCACAGATAAACCGGCAGTTATCATTGACGCGACTGCAAATAACAAGGATAATCAGTGAAAGGTGACGAGTTTCACGATTTATTCACAAGGGGCGCTACCAGTCATTGATTTTTTCACTGTTTTAGATAAGAATGTGCACCAATTATGTGTACCAATTTCGTAGAAAGTAAAAACGCTACGTTGCTTTTCCACGATACATAGTCTGTGATAACACGATGATAACTCCATTATATATAAAAACAATAGCCGTTCGCAAAATGGCGACCTACTATAGGCAATACTCGTTGCTTATATGCATTGAGTTCAGCTGTTGAACTAATCGTTATTCGAATCGGTATTGTTTTACCACGGAGCGAGTGCACTATCTGGGTTTGTGCAATCTGTGAGACAGCTCTGTTTAGGTCGGGGAGTAAAAATTAAAATAAGCAACCGATCGTGACTGTGACGGCGATAAAATAGCGCCTCCTCCACGACACACTATAGCCGTGGCTTATGAGTCCAAGACCGGTCACGATAAAAACATTGACAACGACCGAATTATATTCATTTTTTTTTTTTTTTTTATCGAGCCGTCTCGAGTTAATAAAGGTTGTTAAACGTTTCCAGTGCTGTGCACGTGTGTGTGTATGTCTTATAATCGGAGGTCTCGATTAAACGGGTCCGTTGACCCGTCGGCAGAGTACCATATACTAACAGTATTAATAATATATTGTACAATAATATAATGTGCCAGTCAATATTAGCCGACGTTATCTTCTGTCAACAGCCAACGTCGACGACTACTGCGAGGCCGAGCAAGTAGAATGCGGTACGGTTGTTATTTTTTTAAATATTATAACATTTAAATGCGTACATCGCAATAACGTGCCGGAAACGGTTCGTCGGATGTCGGCAAATTGAATAAAATATGTCGCGCACCGTACACAACCGAAATAACAATCATACCAGGCCATTACAAGGCTGACCGAGATGATGATATTGAGCAATCATAATAATTACTAACAATTGTAGGTATTGTTGTTATTGCGCGCGTCTTATTTCCCCCATCCGGTCCTTTGGCCTTGGGGTTGCCGTCTTTTGTCGGTCTTAAGTGCCTCTAACCCACCGACACCGACACGAGGATTAAGAGAAATAAAATACAACGAAAATTCAACGTTTTACCGTCGCCACCGCCAATCGACTTACTGTCATCTCAATTTATATTATAGCCGCTGACGTCGCACAATAGAAGGAATACCGTCGAGAACGAGGGACCTAACCAAACCTGATGAATGTTTAAATAATTTCAGTTTGAATACAACTTGTAAAAATGTCAAACGATAATTATTACAATTTTATTCTAATTTTAATAAAGGCTCAAAATAAATGTAAAAAACTATTTTTATTTGTCCGAATTTAATTAATAGCCATTTCAATAACTACTAACCGAAATAACTTGTACACGCATCCATGATTATTATTATATAAATAAAACAAGCAATTTTTCAAAATTGTCTGGTATTTTTGTAATAGTAGTCCCTTGAGGTTTTACAATTTTGGAAATATATCAAAAACAATATCACTCATCATATGCCATCGGCTATTGTTGATGTCTCGGCCGTTAGTTTAATGTTTATTAATAGTTAAAAGAATTTCCTGTTAAAAAAAACCTGTTTGAAAACAAAAACCTATTATGTAGGTATGTCTTATAGTTTGGTTTTTTTTTCATTGTATTCAAAATTGTTTAATTCTGCAGCCATTACAAAACAAACAGGCTGGTTTATATTTCAAGCAAAATATTGGACACCGTTTTATTTGTACGCCACGATAGCCTAATAAAATAATTAATTATCCGCAAAGAACCTTCATTAACGTACCGATAAGATAAGTATTAAACTGAGGATTTGAACAATATCGATTTCCTAGTCGAGTTGTATAAACTGCCGAGTGTCTTTCCATATCCTCTCTGCCGTGTTACCTATTATCTGTATCCTCTCATTCACTTAACGTACAATCTGTATAGATTGTAAATACATTTTTGTTGCTACAAAAAAATAAAAAATTGAGAGTTATACAACAATTGCTTATACGGAACTTCTTAAATCACAAGTTCTAATTTAATATATATTGTATGTACAGTACTACTTTATTATCTTCTTCGTGCACGTTTTCCCGGACCAACTGATAAACATCACTCTTGTGGGGGGGGGGGGGGGGTGAGGGGGGAGTACATAATATTATAATGTTTTCGTGTTAGACATGTAAAATATGTGATAAAATCTGGTTTTCGGATAAAAATCCGACGGAACCCCCCCCCTGTTGGCCGTCGAGCACCTAAGAAAGACTATTACATATGGATATATTTTTATTAGGGGGTTGGCCACGCGTGCAATGCTAATAGCGTTCCACGTGAAAAAGAATAAATTACACTATCGTGCACCGTCGGGTTCGACTTATTTTCGAGGTGACTCGACAAACCGCTCTTTTAGCTGAATAATAACGATAATAATAAAAAGACAAAATTTATAGTATACAAATGTGTGTGTGTGTGTGTAAACGCGGCCGGTCCGGACGGATTCGGGTCATTGGCTCTCGGTGCAGTGTGTCTGGTTTGTTATGGATTTTTTATTATAATCAACGTTATTAAAAAAAAAAAAAATCACCGCCGAATCGGCACAACAGGACGATAAAAAATCATTAAGAAGACCGGGGGGACAAGATGTGAAAAATTGTTTATGTGAATCGGTTAATTTGGACGTCTTCTAAGCTCGTAAAAAAAAAAAAAAAAAAATTTAATCATGTAATAATACCTCTTTAAAAATCGACCTCGACCGCGCGCGGTCCTTAACGTTTCTCCGGTTTATTGCTTTTCTAAATATTACTATCATCTCGTACCGGACCCGACCGGGATTTAAAATAATATAAATTATACATATTGTGTGTACTTAAAAAAAAAAAAAAAAATTATACTGTAACACCGGTTTACATAGGTCTTGGGAGTTTATAAAGTATTTTTTCTTTCTACGGTGGCTTCTGTGCATTGTATACCGGCGTTTAATGTGCGCCCATAAGAATATTATCATCCCTACATAATACGGTTTTTTTTTTCTGAAATAGTATTATAATAATTTATGCTAATAACTAAAGGTACTGTATAATAATATTATGGACAGACGAGTACTTCTCGCTTAGATAACGTTTCTGTGTGTGTCGCTGTGTGACCCCGGTTAGGTCTCTGTACAGACAGTCATCAATCTTTATCGCATCGATTTTATGGCGGTGACAGCTGCTGATAATACACATCTCTGATCAGTTTATACGAGCCAGCACACACATAATATTTCATTTGGGTTCGTTCCGGCCACGGCGACAGTCCGTTTGCGCTGTACGTTCTGCCAACATGGTGATGAGTTTGCGCTTGTCTTGATTGCGATTTGAGCCAATTTCTGTACTTGTTTCAGGATTCGGGGTCCGCTGACCCGAGCCGCGCCGAAGGGGAGGAGAAGGCGACCGCTGCCGTTAGCAGCCCTTCCGAAGACCTTGCCGGCAGCCTTGACAACGTCTGCCCCATCGAGAAACAGCCAGCACCGGTCGCAGACTACGCTGCGTAAGTATACACACAGCAGTTGATATTATTATTTTCTCAAATAGCAATAAAAAAACCCCAAACGGTTTGGCACGTGAGAAGCCTTTGGCCATGTCAAAACTACCGTGCTAAGTCACCGAGAGGCATCTACTATTTGCTTCTGACCGCAGACAATTTTTTTGTACTCGCCTTGTTTTTTTTTATATTTTAAAAATAATTTTAACCGGCTAAAATTATTGGAATTAGCGGTATTTTTTTCGAGAAAATTAAATTAAAAATCAAATTATCTTTCTACGCACACCGAAAAGTTAAGTTTGACCAAAGTAAAGTCGCTTAGTGGCTTAGCACGGCAGAAAATATCTTAGATCATCCACGGTAGTAAATGAGAATAAGAATTTTATTTTAATCGTTCTTTGAGTGATTTTAAAAAGTGCACTTGTCTGGTTGTTTGCTCCAAGCTCTTCAATTGTGTAAGCTCGGCGAATAACTATACACTGTAAAGGTACAACGAAATCGCCATTTTTTTATGAACAAAATATACAAGTTTTGTAGGTATTTTTTTAAAAAACCTTAAAAAAATTAGTCTCGCAAGAAAGCTTTAATTATTTATGAAATTCTAAACGGGTTAGGTCCCAATTACATAATTTAAACAAGACAATGTAGTATGACAATTGAAAAAAAAAGTACACATACTTAATTAATTAATTTTAACTCATTGTTCTAACTTTTAAATAACTATAATTAACGTGAGAAAAAAATTAAAATCTAGGTTAAATTACCGAATTCTTCTAAGTTTGCTAAGTGGAATAGTTTAATATCAACAACACATTAATAGGTTGTAAAATTATTATATCTTATCTAAGTGTATGGTAACATACATTATGGTAATTCATTAATTAGCAATACCGGTTCAATTAAAAATTCGATTTTTGTGTCTATTTCGACGAGTAGAAAATGAAGGGAAAAAAAACCTGGCCAAGTAAGTCGGGCAATAAAATATGTAACCACTATAACCAAACCCAACGATTATGTTGCCGAATTTGGATTAAACGAAAAATATAGCCTATACATTCGTTCTAGTTCCAAAATCAAGTTGCATAATATTATTCGCCTGATTTACATTTAATTTAATTTGAAATCAAAATGGTGCTCTCCGCTTTGTTCGCGGGCTCGTTTTGGCTAAAAGCAAGGCTTTAAAAAGTCAATTACAATGTTTACAACGAATATTTCTGCCAAAAAGCAATTAAAATGTAATTACAACAATCTAAACTTATCAGCAAACACAATATTATGCATACCAATAACGAATCGACGAAGACCAAACAAAATAATTTTTTTAACGATAAAAAAATTGAATGGTTTTTATCGCTTTTTACTCGATGGCAATTTTTTTTCAATTATGTGTTATAACAAAAAACTTTCGAACATTCAAACAAAGAACGTTTGGAAATGTTAACGAACTACAATCAGAAACACAAGAATGTAAAATAATAGTAAATATGTGTAATCTTTTAAACTAACTATGTAGATATAATGTATTTTACAAAATTTACACAAATTGTATTATTTCAATGTTAACTGAATCATTGGCAGTAGAATCGCCTCACACCACATAATCAGTTCTTCTAGACTGATATTTGGACGCTTTGGACGTTGCTAATGAATGTGTATAATTAAGGGTTTATCTTTTTTTAGTTATCAAGCACGATGTGTTCATCGTTCAGGTTCGGATATTGATTTAAATCGTTATAATAATATCATAAAAGTAGGCCATAACGTTTCATATTCGCCGGCAAAGGTCAAATCATGCACTTCACTCGCCGATTAACCGATATAGGCGTGCTGGAAATAATATGTTGGTTACCTACAATAGATAATAGTTTTTTTCATCTTCTGATTTCGTTCCGTTATTATCATATTTTACAAACATTCAATTTTACCTAATCGTTCGAAGCAACATTGTATAGCTGTTATTTACTTTAATGTAGTCAATATTATAAGCGATTAGTTATGTAAACCGTGTGTGAGTGTGCGTGTGTTTTTCCATACACTTACTTTGTTCTTATTACTATCGTGTAATTTTTATTTATAATAGTTGTTATTTTCTCATGACTTTTTTTTTTTTAGTAATTGTTAATATTTAGAAAATATAACATTGCGGCCATCGCGATGCAATAAGTAATTTTAAAATTCCATTTTCTGAGTCTAATTCCATTAACACGGAAATAATAATTGACAACGTGTAAACTCAACTGTTGTAGTCATTATCGACCAATTGTTAAGGTCATTAATCCGAAATATCACTGAAGTGCAAAAAACATTTTCAAACGCTGTTTCCACAACCAATAAATGGGAAAAAAAAACAATCAGTTTCGTATCCGGCCAAATAGATGTAATCATTTTGTGTTGGATGAACTTAATATGGTCCAATAAAATAAACAAAAATATTCATAATACATTTCTGTAAAGATGAGCATCTTATAAAATCACAAGCAAACATTATTCCGAGTCTCTTGAACGTTCTGGATTCAATACATTTACACCATGTTACACCGATTGTCTATTGTCCCCCCCCCCCCCGAAAATGTCTATTTCGGTTGTCTATATCTATTAGTAGAACAGTGCAAACGACTCGAGTCGTGGACACCATTCCACTGAGAGCCCCTGATGATGTTGTCAGTACAATGATAATAATATTATAATCTTTTTTCATTTCGGTCGTCCTTAAAGGACTTATAACGCACAATGAGAGCGTTTTGTGCTTTGAACGTTTTTGACGGCCGTTCAAATCCTCTTTTAAATCCATCCGAGAAAGATTATGTGAGGATAAGAGGGGGGGGGGATAGGGTTTGTGTGTGACAGCGTTTATCTTCGTTAGTTTATTCTGTCAAAACTGCTTATAATAATAATAATTCGGTCTTTGATATTATGCTGTATTTGCTCTGCAAAGCGCCAGGGTTATCTGTCATTTGATTGCTGCTGCTGCTGTCAGGATTTGACGTTGTATTTTTTTTCTTTCCTAAATATTCCCGTCGGTCCAACATAAGTGTGTAGTCTGACATTATTAATTTCGATACCGACCGATGGTAATAATTTGGCACTTAAATCATGTTAATGGGCAGGCGGCGGCGGCGGCGGCGGCTCTGCGCTGAACACCATAACGCAATAATAATTTCTAATCTCGATTCGTCTGGGTGGGAAATTTTTGTGTTTGTATATGGATTTTTTTCTTCTTCTTCTTCTAATGTATTTGTGTGGAGACGGAACACAGTGTTGAACGAAACCTGCGGGCCTCATGCCGTCGGATGGGTCTATCAGTCGACGACGAGCGCTCTCCGCTTTCGGTTCAGTTTCGAAGTTAGAAAAAACAAACAAAAATTCATAAATATAATTATTTTAAAACAAAATATACATAATTTTTTTATCGAAATTCATCACTCCACAAACGACGGATCATCGACGGCTTAGAACCAACCTAAACCCTGTGTATGTATAAAATATAATATAATATTATTCAATTTGATGTCGCTTTTGCTAAGGAATCAGTTTTGAAAAAAATTTTATTTTTTTATTTCACAAACAACCTACTCAAAGCTAGTGTATTTTACCGGTTTGATATTTTCTATCCGAACATAAAAAAAATAATATGAATAAAAATACCTTATCATTTTTTTTTTTTTTTTGAAAAACTACTTAACCGAAATTTGAAACTCGACTTACTTATTCTTAGTTCAAACTGAAATAACCGGCTTATATTGTATTGAATGTTTTTTAATATTTTTTCAGTCGAGAATAAAATAACCGAACAAGTTTAGCAACGATATTTTTTTTTTTTATAGTTATTTTGTAATATTTAAAAATAGCACATTTCTTTAACAAAATATTGTTATTGTTTTCTACCTACGCTAAAGAAATAATATTAAAAAGTACTTGTGCTTGTGTCAACTCCAGCGTAGTCATCGATTATTTTTTAACATTTCTAGTGATAATTTATTTATTACGATATGCTTGAGAATGTATTTTTATACAGACCCAAAGTTTCTACAGACTACAAACCGACCGCGTACAATAAATTACAATACTTAACGAGTATTGGGCGCATTGTATAGGCTACACAACAGACACAGTCGTTTTGAGTGAATTAATGTTGTATTCGGCTTAAACGTCGGAAAAGTTTTTGCGAATAATTAAAATGAGTAATACAAACGGGAAAAGAAGCGACGGCGGACGATAAAAGCATAATATGCCGTTTTATTATTATATTTTACTGGTTAAAAAGCAAGGCAAAGTGTCTTTTTGTTTTTCCAATTATTATCAACGCAAAACAGTCTTTCTATTGTTTAATATTGTTATTAACGTCGCGGAATATGTTTAAAACGACCGAAAACGGGTTGTTAATTAAGTTTTCATAATTCAGATAAGAGTTCTGGCCTAAAATAAGGCTATTGTCCGCAGCTTTTCTTTTCTCGTCGGCCGGTGTATTCTTCACAGTTGTTCGTTTTGCATATTTCGCCGACCGAACCGCGTTTTGACCAGTTGGGAAAACCCGTAATTTAAACAAAACACTATTTAAAGGCTGGGGAATGGCATTCCGTACCGACCGACACTGCGTCGGCTGTTGTCGACGCCACAACAGATAACGGTTAAATTTTTTAACGTTGCATTGAAACAACACAAATTAATGGACATATTATTATAAAGCCTTGCCCGCCGTATGTATACGACGGACACTCCTTTACACACGACTACAATAAGTTATAACAGTAATTTGAGCGGTACGAAGAGTAGAGACCTTGCCCGGTAATTACACATCCGCGGCACTATATTATGTTATTATTATCATTTACCGCCGAGAGACCAATCTAATTATTGTTATTTTTTTAACTAATAGTCGTGTAGATTATTGTGTTTGCTTTGTCCGACCGCTGCTACAACGTACTGTGGAATTTTTCGAAAAAATAGGTACATTATAATTTCTCCGCCAAACGTTTTTTGCCTACGGTACAAACTGCGAAAATATATGATTGCTCGCCCACAAGCATGGTCGGGTCGGTCGAAACGTCAATTTGTCATTATCATAATTAGACGAGCGATATTCGTTGCACGACATGGTAATAAGAAAATATACCTTTTGCCGGGCAACGACGTTCGTGCGCCGCCACCATTACACACACACACACTGTATTATACCTACACTTGCGGCGAAGACGTTCCGACTGGAAAATAAATTACAATGTCGATTTTTAATAATTTTCGTTTTGTCTTTGCAAAAAAAAAAAAAAATTACAATCACGTCACGTCGGCGACCGCACGTTTAACCTAAAATATAAATGCGTTAGTTTTAAAAAAAAAAAAAAAATATCCTAGAGAATATAATATCCAGTACAAAGTACAAAGTTGTGACGTTTCGAAACTTCTCTGACCTTTGTAATCGATCGCGGTTTAATGGCGGGCACACACGGTTCCGCCTTGTCGGTGACAAGTAGTGATTGATTATTTCTCGATTTGTGATGCAAAAAATGGCGTCGATTCAAAAATCGCATAATTATTATAATCGTTTTGAGAGAACAATAACCTAACTACTACTACTACTATGGTCTTGTTTTGTTCTACAGATTGGCCCAATGCCCGGCTAAGGTTTGGCCGTGGTCTTTCGATCAACTGGTCCAAGACGGACAATTGTTGAGTTTATATGATTCGAACGGAACCGGATCTTCAGACAGCGGCACTTCCGTTGAATGGACCCGACCCGAGTCCACAGCCTTGATCACCACCGTCCAAGCCGCCGAACAAGTAAGTGACCATTTAAGTCTGTTTGAAAATGCCGTTACGACGATCCAACGATTTTACAAATTAATCAATACTATTGTTGTTAGTGCGTTTGAGGTATAACAAAAAAAAACCGATGTCAAGCGAATAATAGACGAGGCGCAAACTGACAATCGTTTATTATTTTTTTTTTACAATCATTTTTTTCAAACACTCGTGTTAGCCATTTCGTTTGAACCGAGATAGGTGTACAAATTACATTTCTCAATCATTTTAATACATCCGGACTTTGCATCTCAGTCGACCTTAGCACCCGCGCCGGTCTGTCCATTCGAATAACCTAAACTAACCTTTTTTTATCGTTGTGTACACAAGACCGACACGAAGAAAACATATTTTATTGTTTCCCAAAAAAATCTGTAGCCGAAGGTTAAAGAAAGAAAAACGTCAAAAGTTGAACTTTATCAGGTAATATTTTGAGGTGGCTCAAAGCTATTTTTTGTCTTAATCATTTGATTGACACGTGTAAAGCTTATAGCTTCTTTGACATGGATATGTTTTATGGCTGGGGATCATTCTGAAAATTTGTCCGTCATGTTTTGCGTCACAGTCAAAGGAGGTGAATTAATAGAGATAGTGGATTAGAGATAATAGATTAGAGATACTAGATTGCAGGACATATCCATGTATTATTGTATGTGCACGAAGTGTGAGATACTCTAAACTTTCTTTATTTTTCACTACATCTTTAATTTGTTTTAAGTTTTGAAACTACAATATTCGGAGTAAGATCATTGAAAAGATGATTAAAAAAACTGCAAAAAAGTATATGAGAAAAATATATAATATCGCTACTTAAGTTCATTAAAAAAATTGTTGTTTTAAGGTAGTAAACAATTTAGTCAATTATTATCAAATAACAAATAAAATATTTTTCTCATATACTTCACTGAATTATTTTTCTCATAATTCCAACGAGCATAATCCGAATATTATAAGCTTAATATTGAAAATTGAAAAAAATACAGTCAACAGAAAAAAATCATATGTTCACACGTTTTAATCAAATGGACAAAATAGCTTCGAATAACCTCTAAAGAGTTCAAATTTTGTCTTTTTCTTTTTTTTTATCCTAAATTAAAGATTTTGGGGTAAACAAAAACTTACATTTTTTTTTGGCTCAGTCTAGTTTGTATACAATGTTTTGAATAGGCGCTAAACGTGGTTTAAAATCCGAATTAACCAATACTAACCCACTTAATAGCGGCTATAATATTAACGACATGTAGGTATTTAACTAATGTATATTTTTTTGCGGCCTTTAAGCGATCGTAGAATCCCATTGCCACTTACCCAAAACCCGTAACCCGAAAAAATAACCAGACACTAACTCTAACATATTAATGTGACCGGATGCAAAGCCATGGGAAAAAGATAAACTTAAAAGTAATTTTAAAAATAAATTTTTTTTTTTTTGTCACAAAGAAATTACATTGTCTTCTAGTCGCAAACCAAATATTAAACAATCTTCGTCGGAACATAACAAAATATATTATTATTCGCGCAAATGTCCCAGAGCTATATTATGGCCAGTTGTAATGGCAACGAGACAAGTAGTAGTTGCAGCCAAGTTATGGCTCATTCCAAAAAAAAAAAAAGAAATCAAAATGCATGACTACACCATTAGAAACGAATGAATGAGTTCTAACGAAGCGAAAAAACGATTTAACGATTAACTTAACCGTTTTCATGCCAAATTATAGTTATTTATTTAACATTTTTTTTTTAAATTTTTCTATTATTTGATTTCTTATTTTAATTTTACAATTTTTAATTTTTTTATTATTTGATTTTTATATATCTATTTATTTATTATTTAATTTTTTTTATTATTTGGTTTTTGATTTAAATTTTTTTTATTATTTGATTTTTGATTTAATTTTTTTAATTATTTGATTTTTGATTTTAATTTTTTTATTATTTGATTTTTATACATTATTTTTTTTTATTTCTTTTTTTTTTATTAAATTTAATTAATATTGTCAACAAAGCTCAGAAGTCAAGTAAAATTCTATTGCGTATACCGAATGCATTATTTGGAGGAATTTAAGTGTCCGAACCGTTCAAACCAATACAAAAAAAAGCAAATTCGTGTGGGTAGTCGTTATTGGCTATCGCATCTACATAGGGGATGAAACTTAGAAATACTCGTTTTTTCGCAACAAAAAATTGTATATCTAAGATTTATTCATTTTTAAAATCGAGATTTTTTAAGTCCAGACCCTTAGTTGATGCGCTGGCCCTGTTACCACTTTTAAGTTTTACTGTGTACTTATAGATACCACTTATTTATTATTTTTCCGAATTCTTTTTTATGCAAATTAAATTAACTTGGCAACGACGAATTAACATTTTATTTCTTTGCATTGAATTTAACTAAAACCTTTTAACGAATGATCGTCGTTGAAACTCGACCTTTAACTGTTTTTGAACTTAACGTCGTTCGCCACTTGTCTTATGCGGTCTTTAATGTTGAACTTAAACCGGACTTAAGTGAAAGATATCTTGAAACCACACAACATTGCATCGATCACATCAAACCGGACACGAGACTGTTATGCATCTAATCGTATAGTACAGTAATGTTGCCCTAAAAGTAAGTAAATAATTGTTTTCAGTAATAACTTGTGATGAATAAGACCTTATAAACAATATAACTCTTTAAAAACAAATTACATTTTAACCTAAAAAGACTGGTGTCCTTTTGAAACTCGAATGAAATAATAATGTTCGATAATAGATAAAGAACAAATACATCTTGGACCAAGACTAACAAGTCCTTTGTTTGACATGTAAGCTTTGTCTTTCTTATCAGCTTAACTGTCCATTATTACGGTTCGTTTCCTCATCAATTTCAAGAGGGACTTTTGCCTTTTCAGATAAACCTTACTTAACTTGTCCAAATCTATCTCTACTAGACGAAATATTGGATAGTGAATGTCTACAGAACAGAGAGAGACCTATTTTAGAGAAGACAATATCTTATTTTTTAAGTAACACGGTCCAAGTCTGGCTTTTTACTGGTTTTTTTTTTCAACGCTTCGACAGTATTTGAAATAATTACTTTACTTTTAGCCGGGCCAGCAAATCCATATAAGTGGTCAAACTAGTTTAACACATAAATATAGGTATTTAAATATAATTTAATAAACAAAGTTTGCGAGATAAGAGTACGGCTTAGACAGTTTAATTATTGGTTTTCGGAAAGTATTATATTCATTTTATATGCGAAGAAATATCTTTCTTGTCGATCTAACAACTCTTAAAGTACCTACCAAAAACGCCCAACGTAAATACAAAACTTATTTGTGAAATAATAATAAAAAATATCATTTGAAAAAAGCTAATAAAATAAATTAGCAGGCAAAGTCCACAGTTTTTTTCAGAAGTTCCATCCCTAAACTTTTGTCTAATTTTCATAACATAAATTTAAATTTGCTTATAAAAAAAAACACTCCTTTCTTTAATTCTTCAGGGAAATAAGAGTTCATTTGCACTTAATTTGTAACCATTATTTAATGACGTTTTACTTAACTCACAGCCCCGAACATTTAAATTATTTTCGGGCTGGAAGTTTATTTAAAAACATAGTCGAGGCCTAAGTACAATGTTAATGTGCTTACGGCACCGCATCGATTGTGTTCCACCAGACGTTTATTATGATTGATTTAAGTTGAAAAAAGTACTTAGTGTACTTACTTTAGTGTACCTACCATTCGAGTTTCAAAAAAAAAAAAACACCACAATTCCACCAACTGACAAAAATTATCGTATTCTGATTGAACAACACTGTTGTGCTGAAATATTTTGAGTCACAAGTTTTTACAAAAATAATTTATCAATAGGAAATACTGTACATTGAGATGTTTCGTCATCAAGAAAATCACAGAACTAATCTGAAAAAAAAAAATATTTATATATATGTATATAAATGGCAATATTGTAATAAATTATTTTAATTAAGTGCATTCGTTAAATTTTCTATGTGTCGCAGATTTATGTTATATGTAATTGTATTTTTACTGAATAAAATTATTCTCGTTGTGTTGTTTGTGGTTATTTAATCGGTGGCTTGGTGAAAAACTATAAATATTGGTAATATATTACCACTCCGGTACTGTTCACTTTAATAATATCCACGCCAGAGACTATGATATATGGCCATAGGCTGCGACAGTCTCCCTAGCAAAGAATTTATCACCATGCCACTGTTTATGTGGACATGTGCATTAGTATGCGTCCCACAAAACATGTACTACTTATTTATACAAATAAGCAGTAAAAAACTGCTTTTGTTGTAGGTCTCGCATAATTGGAAATGATAATGTTGTTTTGGAAGGTGTACAATGATTTAAAAAACAAAAAAAAGTTAATATATATTTTATTAAACGACAAAGAGACAATTAATTTTTTTAAATAACCTTTACCTTAAAAAAGTGTAATGTGAAGCCTACAGAGGTGCACAATGCAAAGAAACAATTGTTGATTATCTGTTTAAAATATACCGTTTAAATGTATCAACCACCTAATTAATTTTAATTCGGACTTTGGTTGTGGGTGGAAATGTGTAGGCGACTACTTCCGACAAGATCATGGACTGACGACATTGTTTATGGCTAATTTTATACTTTGAAAAACAAACCAATAAAAACGTTCACAATGTTCATTAGATTTTTTTTTTTTCAATTTTTTAACAGAGTGAATTAATGATTATTATTATGTGATGAAATCATTGTAAAAAAATTAAAACCTTGATAAGAATATAAATTATTATGTAAATATAAAAATATAGATTATTATATAAATATAATAAAAATAACAATCAATGAAAATACCCGATCCAAAAATAAAATACAACTTTTTTTTTCTCACTGTTGAACGTGTTACCGAGTTTTTTATAGAAAACATACTAACTATAAAAGTTTTCAAAAGTTAGGAAAAAAAGTAAATGTTGTGAACTTCCT